GGAGGGAAGGAAAGAAGGAAGGAAGGAAGAGACTACATGATGGGAAAGGGAAAAGTAGAAAGATGGGGGTGGGGCAAGGTTCTTTGAGGTCACATCCCTTCTCTGGGAGTCAGTTTCCCTGCCTGGCTGGTGGTGATGTAGAGGACAGATGTCTGAAGAGATGGAATGCACCAATACCAGAGGACCCACCTTCAGAGATGGGCAGAGCCTTGCAGGATAAAAGGAGAAGGTCAAGGGAAAGCCCTTTCCATTAATGAAGAGTAGTCCTGGCAGTGTCCGCTCTGCATGCCCTTGGGTTCTGTGCGTGGACGGAGTGGCTCAGCCATGAGGAACCATGAATGTATGAATATCGCCCCCTGGGCACAGGCCTCAGTGACTCGCTTCCAACAACCTGCTCCTGTCGGGCCTGTTTTCTCAGGAACGCTGACTCACCAATGCACCATTCACGGGGCCCAGATGCCTTAGGCAGAGGAAACTGTCCCCTCTGCCCTGCCTCCAGCACATTTTCTCTCATCATCTATAAGAAACCCAGGTGGTTCTGTTATCCCTGCAGAATCTGTCCCTTAATATCAGGGCGTCCACTCACGTAACGCCACCAACCAGGTGGAGTTTAAGACTTACCTGTATGTTCTTTATATCAGAAAGCTATTTATGTCATGGGTGGAGGGACAGAAGATGAGGAAAAAGATCTACAGTTTTACAGAGTACTTATCTTCTATTGCAGAAACCACTTTTTTTTCTTTGAAAGTTCACATTGAGCCCCGGCACAGGGGCTTGTGCCTACAACTGCTGATACTTGAGAGGTAGAGAGAAGAAAGCTGCAACAGGATACCGGCCTGAGCAAAATGTCAGGGAGACCTTAACTCGTGAATAAGCCAGATGTGGTGGCCCACGGCTGTAATCCTAGCGACCGGGGAGGATCTCAGTCTGGTGCCAGCCCTCAACATAAAGTGCCAAAAAAGACCCTATCTGAAAATTAACAAAAGCAAAAAGGGCTGAGAGTGTAGCTCAAGTGGTAGAATACCTGCCCAGCAATTGTGAGGCCCTGAGTTCAAAGCCCAGTACTGCAAAAAGGTTTCCAAAGGTCCAGATGGCAATCTTCTAGGTTTTGCAGGCTGTCTGCTGTGTTACTACCACTCAACTCTGCCCCTCATGCCCCGCCCCCCGAAAAAAGCTGCCGAACAAGCTTGGCTGTGCTCTAATAAAACTTTATTTACAAAAGCAAGTGGTCGACCCTGATTAAATTCTGCTACTGTGACTCCAGATGCCTTTTCTCTCCACAAATATTTTGTCATCAGCTTCAGACACCTTGGTGTCTTTAGTTGGCCTATGTGAATCTACCCTCGAGAAGTCTCGGGTAAATGCAGGCTGAGTGGATCCGGGGAAGCCCATGGACTCCTGGACAGAACACTTCTCATTTCTGCCACCACACTTACCTGTCGCCATGGCTTTGACGTCATTTAGGACTGGGACCACTTCAGGTTTCAGTTTTTCGAGGATTCCAGCTCCCAGCAAGGTATGAATTCCTGGGTTTGCAGAAATAGAAGGGACGGTGAGCAATTGTCCACTTATCAAACCTTCACACACACACTGCCTCTCCAACACAGGACCCTCTGGGACTGGAAAATGGCTTACCCTTCTCTCCTCAAGCCCCATTCTCCATTGTAGACCCCATTCAGGTATTGACACTGGCATGGACAGATCTTGTCATAAACCTTCAAGTCCTAATACCCCTGTCATCCAGTGAAAACTCAGCTGACAGAGCTTCCTGACTACTTGTGCTAGGGTCCAGTGTTGACCATCTTGAGCTGTCTGTACCCACTGTCCCGACCTCTGTAGCTCCATGGGGTCCCTGCAGACATCTTGGCGCAGAAGTCTCTTTGGAATGGACACTGTCCTGTGTACGCCAACACAGGACAGTGTCATTGTTCTCATGCCTCCCCGCATTGTGCCACAGCAACTATCTCCAGATGTCACCAAACAGCAGCCTTTGTGTAAGAACCACTAAGCCAGGCTGTGTGTGAACTCCTCTGAGCCCAGCCCTGTCCCCTGGTGATTTCTGAAGCTCATGGTAACAGGAGTGTGGAAGATACACAGGGAATAAAGAACACTCATGACCAGGCGAAAGATTTTTCTATAAACCTAAAATTGAAAAGATCTCAGGAAGTGGTGCTGTGGCTCAAAGTGGTAGAGCACTAGCCTTGAGTGAAAAAGCTCAGGGACAGCACCCAGGCCTTGAGTTCAAGCCCCACGACTGACCAAATCAAATCAAATCAAATCAAATAAATCTCAAAGTCCTTCAACCGGGAACACAATAACTTTCACAATCAACGCTGGACTTTGATTACCCATTGCCACCAGCCTATAATTTATCCAGAACTCTAGGGCTTTGTTTCTGTCTTTCTCCTGCCTTCACATACCTCATTTCTTAGTTCTCATGCTATGGAAGGTGCCCGTGCAATCTTCTGAGCCCAAGTAAGAGCGTGAGGTACCTGTCACTGATACTCACTGTCCAGATCTGAGAAGGCCTGGTCCCTGGTAGTGTTGTACTGAGCCAGGATATAGTGGATTTGCTGGAAAAGAGAATTGCATGACATCTTCCCTTCTAAGGTCCAAAGCCACCATTCAGAAAGCAAAAAGGAATTGAACATACAAAAGGAATCGGAGTCAGGACTTTTTGTCTTATTTTGTCTTGTCAGTTGTGGGGCTTGAACTCAGGACCTGGATGCTGTCCTTGAGCTTCTTTGCCTTAACACTCCAAACCACAGCATCACTTCTGGTTTTCTGGTGGTTCATTGGAGATAAGAGTCTTATGTACTTTCCTACCTGGGCTAGCTTTGAACCACAATCCTCAGATCTCAGCTTCTTGGGTAGCTAGCATTACAGGTGTGAACCTCAGTCACAAGTCTGTCATGACAATTTTAAAAAGAACGACCACTGAGTCCTGAAGATGGTTCTAGTTTCTGACACTCAGACTTCTTAATATTTCCAAGATTATTAGCATAAACTCAAATAATTTATTATGATTTTTTTGGTTTCTGATGGTTAATTATGTCTCGTGAGGCTGTGGATTGGAAAGGTGTTCTGTGGACCTGGGAGGCCAGTATGGCCAAGGACAGTTTCTCCCAAGGTAACTCAAGACTACTCCACCCCAAAAGAACGTGTATTAACATCAAATGACTTTTTCAAAAATCATCAGATCCTTAAAATGACAGAATACTTTGTAGTATACACTACAATTTTGTTACCTTAATGAAATAAGCACCAAAATTTAAAGCATCAACTGGGTATTAACTTTTGCACTCTTGGGAATTGCTGGCAAGGAATTTCTTCCGTCATCAGCAACCTTACAAGGTGACCTCCATCTACCTGAAGGCAGTGGGTTTCTAGAAGGTTCCCAGGAGATTCCAAACACCCATAGGAATTCAGAGGAGCCAACAACCCAGAGGTCCAGAGGACACACTGGTTGTGACTTTTACCTTTGGGGTTTCATTCAGGAGTGTTCGCAAGTCTTTAAAATTGCTGGTTGCCAGTTTCTGCGTGTTGTTCATCCAGGTTTGGACGTGGATGTTGGCCACAAAGCCGCAGAAGATGCCAATGCTGCAGGCAGAGGGACGGAGAGAAGGAAGAGCCTTTCTCACAATCTCCACCATCCACGGCCCACACAGGCACCCTTACCTGCTAAGACCCCACCACTGACCACCACCAAAGCAGAGCCACACAACAGACCTCATGAAAGACAAACCTCCATGGAGACTCAGTATTCTATTCAAGATGACAATGTCCACAGCACACTGTGGAGGAAGTCATTATCAAGGTTGCGTGACAATGTACACCGTCTAGTCCACTCTGGTCTGGATGATCCTGCAGACCCCTTTCTATGTGCACATGCACGCATGCACACACACACACACACACACACACACACACACACACACTAGCACACCTGCTAGCCCCAGCGAAGATGCTAGGAAAAGCATCGAAATGACCAGCGTGACTGGGACAGTCAGTGCTTTGCTTTCTCCCGTGGTCTGCTGGTCTGGGTATGGTCCAGGTTGGAGGGTGGGAAGTTACTGAAGCATTCAAACACTAAGCGAGAGCCACATGTGACAGACTGCTGTACTCCTCACGCTGTCAAGTACCAAACAAGCAAAGCAGTGGTGCTGAGCTGACTTTGGCTTGGTGCCAAAGAGCAGCAAACGCAGCGTGCTCTCCATGGGAAGATTCACGAACACTCATAAATTCGTACGCAAATACAAAAAGGACACTTTTTTCCATGTAAAATATTCAGAAATGCCATATGAAAAGCCTCTTACAGGAAATGGTATACAATAAGAAAATAAAAAACATCTATGCCATGTAAAATGCCTATTTCTTTTTTGTGGTACTGGGGTTTGAAATCAGGGCTTCTCCCTTCCTATGCAAGTGGTCTACCACTTAAGTCCTTCCTTCGTGGCCTAGTTATTTTGCAGATATGGGCTCTCCATTTCTTGCTAGCCTGGCCTGCTATCCTCCTTTTTGTGTAGCTTTTATGACAGGCGCATACCACTACTCAGCACTTTCTGTTGCTGAGATGGTGTCTTGCTGTTCTGGTCTCCAATGTACCTGCCAGCCTCTTTTAAGGGCCCTCGGTGGCTAATTACTAATTGGTTTAACATAATAAAAATGTTGGCAAGAGCAAATCAGCAAAATCCTGACGCCTTTGGCCACTAGGTGGTAGCAAGGAATCAGATAAACACCATGACACACACGTTTTACCGATAGACGCAAAAAAAAAACAAAAAAAAAGAAAAAAAGAAAAAGAAAACCAAAAACAAAACCCCCAAACTGTTACTATATAACTATCCAGTGCAAGTGTGGCTGTTTTTAGAGCAGTGATTTGGGAAGAGTATTTAAACTTTAGAACATATGAAAACAAAATCAACGCACTGATTCTTAAATAGGAGCAATTTCTTAGGCTTTATGCATGCATGTATTTACAGATAGAATAAAAAGGTACTCTGTTTTCCTTTTGAACTGAAAAAGCTCATCTTCCCAGGAAACTTCTGAGACCTGATCAAATGGGGACATGACCCCACTAAACAAGGATACAAGTCGACTGCAGGTCATTGGTCAGAAGCAAGCAGAAAGTGTCTATGTATGGAGCAAAAATTCTTATAGCTAACAAGCTAACAAACTACAATGGCAGGAGAGGGTGAAGTGACATTTTCCAAAAAGAACTGTACGTTTTACCTAACCATGTAACTGTAACCCCTCTGTACCTTACCTTTATAATAACAACATTTTTTAAAAAGGGGGAAAAACAAATTGCAGTGGATAAATATCAGAGCTGGAACATGAGAGCTGGATCTATAGGCAATCACTGCCGTGCTGGGGAAAGGCCCTGTACTTCAGTGAGCCCCAGATATCTCAAAACTGACCAGGCTCGTTCAGAACTTCAGACCGAAGTAGGTAAATTAGAACTATGTGTCTTAGTCTGGGTAAGTATTTATTCCTTGAGCTGCAAAAGAGAAAGGTTCCAAATGACAACAAATTCTCTGAAGTTTTTTTTTATTTTTAATCTATTCTATTTCTAATTGGAATTCCTTCTGATGGTAACCTTTGCAATGAACAATTTATGTGCCGTTCGGCACATTTTAAATCTGTGTTGGTGTTTATGTGTCAGACTTGACATCATAGCAAAAACTGTCACTGAATGACATCATCATGACAAAGAAGGCCAAAGGTCTGAAAATGATGTAAGAATTGCGTAGCAACACACACACACACACACACACACACACGCGCGCGCGCGCGCGCACAGCAGCCAGCACTTCCTTTCCCAGCACTTCCAAATTTTTATTGTAATCACTCACTAGGCCCCAGCATCTGTTCCTATGGGAAGCCTGAGAGCCACTTCCACTTGACTAACCTGATTCTTCTACCTCTCCTCCCTCCCCCACCCGCCAAGGGACCAGAGGCTCCTTGCTCTGAATGCTGATGGACGGTTTCTCACTTCCTACTCAATTTGTCTTGGACGCTCTCTACAGGGATGTGGTTAAGTACTTCTTTCTCTCAACTTTGTCCACAGAGATGCTGGAGGAGAGTGGGTTTAAGGACTGGACTCACTCTGGTTTCATTCGATCTACTTAGACTATTAATCATATGTTGAGAGTCTGTATTGTGTAAGTGATCGTCACTTCCAAGATCAAGATCTTACTCAGCCAGAAGAGTGAATTATGATACATTTCAGAACACCACCAAATTTCATGTTGCGTGTTTGTAAGGACCTGTACTTCTACCCAGCAATAGATTCAATCAAGACATCAAGGTCTTGATAACTTAAACAAAAAAGCTTCACCAAACAGAATTCTGCAAAGAATTCACCGAGTTTCAACACTGAGTCTGGGTGTGATTTATGCTACATGAAAGGTGACAAGTCTAAAAGCCCCCATGTCAGGGAGAACACACAAGGCGGGGGCATCTGGGGGTCCTAGGAGCTGGATGGCAGGGGAGGGTATGACAGTTGCTCTGTCGCTCTCCAAGTGCCGCCAGGGCCATCAAGACAATAGAGCAGTACTGCCAGGGCTCCCCAATAGCCACAAACATGTGGATTCTGGTGTCGAATTCCCCAACTTTTAAATCTTCTCAATTGATTAAAAAAAAACTTTAAAAATTATGCAAACCCATCAGTGGTCTCCATTTAAACCTAAATATGTAGACAAAATGGAATAAACAATAAAGAAATGATGCTTCTTAATCATTACGGAATTAAACAACCTGTTCAAGATATTTTAAGCAAAAGTAAAAATCAAAACAATTAGTGATTCCATGTTTTAACAGCAACCCAGTCAGCTATGAAGATCGAGGGACACTGGGACAAATCTACCTCACACAGAAGGAATGCAAACCCAGAAAATATCCCTTCTCCTGAAGGCCACACAGATTTTGTCTTTAAGAACAAACACATATACTTTGATGCAATACAACAAAATATCTTAATTTTCTTCTTTGTGAGTGGCCTGCCAGCTTTACATTTTCTATATTTTGTTATGAAGCTTAAATTTTTAAACCATTAAAATTTCTAATAGTTCTTTTCCTTCATAATTTCTACCGTAGTGAAATAAGTCCTTTTATTCTATAACTGATCTTGCTTTTTTTTCTTTTTGTAGCTGTGTTAGGGTTTTGAGTTTGGTGCCTTGGGCTGCTAAGTGAGCTGTCTATCACATCAACCATGCACCCAACTCTTTTTGTTTTACTTATTCTTCAGACAGGGTCTTGTGGATTTTGTTTGGCTAATGGATTGCAATCCTCCTATACCTCCTAAGAGTCAGCATTACAGTTACATACCACTACATCCAGCTTGTTGTTTAAGATAGGGTCTTGCTGTTGACTTTTTGCTCCAGCTGACCTTGGACTGGGATCTTTCTGACCTCTGCCTCCTATTACTTTTAAAGGATTTTTTTTTAAATTTAACAAATCTCTGATGCTCAAGTATGCTATAAACCAATGTGTTGATTTTATTTATTTATTCGTTTATTTATTTTTTATTTTGTCAACCATAAGGCCTGAACTCAGGGCCTGGGTGCTGTCCCTCAGCTCTTCAGCTCAAGGCTAGCGTTCTACCACTTGAGCCACAGGGCCACTTCTGGCTTTTTTTTTTTTTTT